CAAACCATCCAAATTGCTCATACAAAATTCAGAGGCCGCAGACTGGCATGAAGCTTTCCTAAACTCAGCTGTCCTCTGACTGAAGACTTGCCCAGGACAGCTACCATCCACCCCCTGCAGCTCCACCTATCCCTGACCCTGATCCAATCACATGAGCTTTGTCACCTGTTTAGTTTCAAACTGCAGATATTCCCCAGCCCAGACTCAAGCCCCTTTAACCCGTCATGCCTGCTCTCTGTCTATTTTGCATGCTTATTTCTCTGGGCCTCCCTTTAGCTGAAAATGGGTCACAGGAGTACAGAATGATGTGCACTTCTGTGACCTACAGGAGAAGTAAGATCAAAGGAGCTTTAAAATACACATAACAATACACATAACAATACAATCGTTGTGTTTATGCCCTCCCCAACGTAATTTTTTTAGTTAAAATTATAAATTGTGATTAAAACTGATCTCAAGGCAGATATAAAAGGCACAAATCATTGTAGCCTTGTGGTCATTAATACACCATTATGTCTTATTTTTTAGGTGCAAGCAGTGTAACTATCCAAATTTGACTTCTTGCAGGAATTGTATAGCAAAGCTGGATTGTGAGAGGAAGAAGCAGTACTAGATGTTAGTTAGTTCATGTGCAGACCAGAAGTATGCTGATAGGAGAAAGCAGAGTGACAGAGAGATGAGCTCATTACTTTACTGCTTCTCCTTTACTGTCCAGTCACAAGTAGGATGACCTGGACTCAGAGGAAAAATGGCCATCAGACTGAGGATACCTATTAGCAATAAAATAGTAAATTTCAGATATGAAGATGAATATTTCATTAAAGGGTGATTTTGTTATTCTCTCTCTTTTTGGTTATTTATTTTGAGGGGAGTTCTGCTTTGAACAAGTGTGATTAGATAATAAAATAGGAGGCAACATGATGCACAACCACTGTGAAAACATTCAGTGTTCTGCCCAAGCAAATGTTTCTTTTTAGAATGTCAATGCCAATAATATCTCATGAGCTGAATCCCTGGTCCCATCACCTGAATGGCCAAGGCACTATTTATACTGTTCTAAAAGCTTGAAAAGACATCAGAATTCCAGATAGAGATAGTGGGTATTTGAAAATCCCATTGCCCTCAAATGTATTATTCTGGTATCCCTATGAGTTTGACTCCATTTTGTCTCCATAGGAGTCACGTTTAGCACTCTCTGTTCTATAAGCAGCACATTTTCACCTGCTGGTATTTCATGCTCTGTTCATTGAATGGGTCAATCTGTCGCCTTATTAGTGGCAACCACCTATTGTTCCCCTTCACAGTGACAAAGTGACACGCCATTGTTACTGGGGAAAACGACTTAAAAGATACACACTTATTGCTAGATTAAAAGTTAAAATACACTAATGGAATCATACAAAGGGTTCTGCATATACAAGAGAGCGCATACAAAATGATGTATTACTAATCACATCTACAGGTACCTATAGACAAATGGTTGACGTAACCTACATAATCCCACTGTCTATTCAGCAGCCCATTGAGATGCTTGATTGATACTTGGGCTGTTTAGGGTTACCCCTATAATTCCCACTTTTCTACATCACAGATGTTCCACTTGCTGGTTGCAGAATGTAGTGGAGGCCAATAATCTGTTTGACTGTGAACTATTTACCTTTTGTATCACTTGATCCTCCCCTTTTAGATTGTAAGCTCTAAGAAGCAGGGCCCTCTGAGTCCTCCTGAATTTAATTGTATTGTAACTGTACTGTTTGCCCTCACATTGTAAAGCGCTGCGCAAACTGTTGGCACTATATAAATCCTGTATAATAAATAATAATATAATAAATATTCATATAGTCACCTAGAATTTCTGTTAATCTATGGCGGACCTTAATCTGGCCACACACTGTGCACATTTTGTCCAGTTCCTGAAGAACTGCCAGCCGGCGCCATTCCATTTGACAGGAGTTGTCTTTTGTCAGAGAAGCCTGCTGGAAGATGTTTGGTTAAACACTGGATGTATCTAAATAGATACAGCCACTATGCAATAATTTTGACAGCCAGTGGGGCTGGCCTTTAAAGTACAATAGCGGCAGCTGGAGATTCTCTCATCCATGCTGTATAATGTTGTTGGGGAAATTGGCTAGTCTTTTCTGCAGGCTGAATGAAAAATAAACTACCATATATGCCGGTGTGTAAGACAACGTTTTAACCTTAAAAACATCCCCCAAAAATCGGGGGGTCGACTTATACGCTGAGTATAAAATGTGAACTTTAACTCCTTCACACCGAGCGTACGCAAATATGTGGCCTTTTGGCGGCTGGGCCTTGACGCCGAGTGGCTGCATATTTGCGTACCATTTGTAAACAACCATGTGCTGAAAGCGCGCACCCTGCGCACTCCCAGTACATTTAATGGGTGTCCCACGGAAAGGTCCCGATCTCTTCTTGCGATCGGGACCTTTTCCAATCATGTGACCACTGTGACAGCCAATCACGGCAGTCACATGACCCTAAACCCCGCCCGGCCTTCCGGCGTCGACGCAAAGGGGTTAAATCCTACAATGTAGTAGACTACATCATGGCCCCACCAATAAAAAGAAGGACATATGAAGCAAGTTTCAAGCTGAAAGTTGTAAACTTTGCCAAAGAACATAATAACTGTGCTGCCGCAAGACTTATGGAGTAACAGAAAAGATGGTCCGAGACTGGAAAGCAAATGAAGATGCATTAAAGAGTATGCCAAGGAGTAAATGTGCATTTAGAAAAGGCACCCCACATTGGCTAGAACTCGAAAATCATGTAGTAGAGATGGTGCATGAGCATCGTCAAAATGGTTATGTAGTGACACAAAACAACATATGTATGTTTGCACTTCAGTGAGCCAAATCTAACCCAGATCACAGCAAAGAATTTAAGGCTACTGTATCATGGTGTGCTAGGTTCTTGGAAAGGCATAATTTGGTACTGAGGCAAACTACCTGCAGATCTTGACAGCAAAGTAAGTAATTTCCATCGATATGTAATACAACAGTGCAATGAACATGGCTATGCGGTAAGTAATATCGAAATATGGATTATTATTATTATTATTATTACTACAGTTTATATAGCGCCAAAGGGTTTGCTCAGCGCTGTACAATAGGGGGGACAATACATGACACAGTAATACAACAACAAACAACGTACGAGGGGTAAGAGGGCCCTATCTTACGAGCTTACAATCTAGGATGAAACTCCTATGAATTTCGATATGGTTGGAAATAAAACTGTCAATTCAAAAGGTGCAAAAACAATGTTAATTAAAACAACAGGACCTGAGAAGTCCAGTTTTATAGTGGTACTACCATGTAAAGCTGATGGCATCAAACTAAGACCAATGATTTTTTTTTTTTTTAAAAAACAATGCCGAAAATCAAGATCCCTGTTGGAGTTTTTTGTACATGTGAATGAAAAAGGCTGGATGGATGAAGAAGGGATAAAGCTATGGCTTGATAATGCATAGAGTAGGCCACCAGGTGGACTTTCTTGTAAAACGTAGCCTATTGGTGTGGGATATGTTCAGGGCCCATTTAACTACCAACACAAAGAAAAGGCTGGCAAGAATAAACACAGATGCGGCAGTTATTCCTGCAGGATTGACATAGCTGGTACAGCCACTGGATGTGTGCCTAAACAAGCCATTTAAAGATCGCATTCGAGAAAAGTGGAATGAGTGGATGGTTAGCGGTGAAACATAATTCACAAAAGGAGGAAACATGCGTGCTCCACAACTGGATGTTTTCTGTAACTTTGTCATAAAAGCCTGCAATGATATTGATATTGATGCAGAAACAGTAATCAAGTCTTTCAAGAAGTGTAGTATATCAAATTCATTGGATGGTATGGAGGACGACTACTTGTGGAAAGATGAAGGGGAAGCCGTAGCTGAAGCCAGCCAATCTGATTCAGAATTAGATCCATATGATGACTGTCCTACATTTATCACAAGGTGTCATTGATGAACTTATGATGTCAGATGATGAACATGATGAGGATTTTGAAGGATTTTAAGTACCGGTAAGTCATAACCATTTTAATTAAAATTATTTAAATCAAATCTGATGTTTTTAAATGGTGTGCCTCGAAGGGGGGTAGTTCTATTACGGTGAGTATAGCCCAAAACCTATGTTTTAACTGGAAAATTAGGGGGTCGTCTTATACGCCCAGCCGCCTTATACGCCAGCATATACGGTACCAATGTTTGGTCAGCTTTAGATCTTGTTCACTTTTACGGTAGGTCTGTAAACACCTCTTAAAAATTATCCCTGGTGGATAACCTTTTAGACACAGTTTTGAGCCAGATGACAGTCCATTCTGAATGCCTGTTTTTTTTGTTTTGTTTTTTGATCCCCAATGGGGATTTTAAATTGAAATCCTGTCAGACCATGCCACAAGCACATTACATGCAGTTGCACTACGGACCCATTAACTTAAATAGGGCAAGGTTGCCAAGTGACACCGCCTGTCAATCACAATATGCTATATATGACACATGCATGGCAATGTTAACATAGGTGATCCAGGTGCAGTAGAAAGGCAGATTAATTGCCTGTTTTTACCAACTATCCACCACATGGATAAATGAGGTCTCAAAGTAAATATGTGTCAGTGCTGGGCCAATCAACAAGCACCAGCACAGTTATCTAAGAGGAAGAAGTGATTCATTTGATCTTCCATACCCAAAAGGGCCAGATATTGTCTTAGCTTCCAGCAGTTAAACAAAGTAGCATGGGAGGAAACAAATGGTGAGTATGTGCTTCTGGGGATGAGGGGCAAAGCACTGGTTTGCTTTAAACACAATCCACATCTCAAGTAACATCAGGATAATAAGAAAGCATATTATTTACTTATGAGGGTAGTCTTGCTGATGTCACAACTAACAGGGATCTCACATCAAAATCTCCAAAAGTCGTAAAAGTTGAATCCCCAATGGGTTCTGCCAAGTGACCATAAAAGTCTGAAAATAATGGTACCTTGCTCCTGTGGCTCTTCAAAGGTGTTGTAATGCAAAGGTAGGTCAGCACTAAGTGCACTCTGCTGTGAACTCCACTCATAATCATGTCCACTCTGTGCATCCACTGACTGCAGGTCTGTGTACTGGGGTACCAAGTTGCCAATGTGGTCTTCCTCTTCTGTTGCATTTTGAAGACTATGCCCTGTTTCATCCTTGGGAAATCTTTGCAAACCTTCTCCTAATGTAGGCACATCTAGAACATAGAATATTGTAGTTAAAACTAATAAGCACCAAAACATTTTTATAAGCTTCAAAATGGACAATGATATAGTTAAAACCATCCAATGCATTGGTAAAAAAAAAAATCACAACAGCTTTTAACAACTGAAACCATCCAAAACTAAAGTGCTTGTTCAATACAGTTATATTTGCCAAGGATATAATAATTATCAGACAATAGGCACTGATTCTGATAAGCTGCTACTGTAACCCTTGGGGTCAGTGTCTTTCTGTTTTTCCAAAGAAGCAGAAGAACAAAACATTGAGTTGTACAGAAAAAAAAAGATGAACTCCCATCAAACTTTTTATATACTCTATAGTAAATGATTTGTGGGAGATTTTCCCTCACTTCATGTCCACAGTGATTCGTAACCGTAACTAACCGTAGGCTCTGGTTTATATTTTGGAGCCAGCAATGTCTTTAGTTGATGCTAGATATCACTAGATAACAAAGTTGGCCATACACTAGTAGAATTTTATTCACAATTTTTCATTTTATGAATGTTCATTTGATTTTCTAATCATTAGTGGGATCAAAGAAATGTTCGTATTCGACTACAGTGATGAAAACATTCAAAAGCAGGATAATAAATTTTTCTCGAACAAACAAATTTGTAACAGTGTATGTGGTTTTCATGGCTTTCGTTTGGGAAAGTCCCTACACTATAAAATTGAATTATAAAAGCAAACGAAGATTTAAAGGGATATTAAAGGCTCCGTTTTTAGTTTTTAAAAATAACAAACATGTTATACTAACCTTCTTTGTGTAATGGTTTTGCACAGAGCAGCCCTGATCCTTCTCTTCTCGGGTCCCTCGCTCTTTCCCCTGCAGAGTGCCACCATAGCAAACCAATTGCTATGGGGCACTTGTGCGTGTTCACTCCTGAGCTAGCTCTGTGTGTCCATTGACACAAAGAGCGGGGCTCAGGCCCACTCCCTCCTCACTTTGATTGTCTCTGAGGAGTCAGAGAGCCAGGAAAGCCACTGCTCTTGTGCACATCACTGGATCAAGGTAGGTATTAGGGGGGGCTGGAGGGAGCTGCACACTGAAGCTTTTTTACCTTCATGCATAGAATGCATAAAGGTAAAAAAACTTCAGGCTTTACAACCACTTTAAAGTACTTTTAAATGACATTCATCAAGTCACAAATGTACTGAGAAATTTCGTTCATTTGAAAATCTACTAGTGTATTGCCAATTTAATTGTGCATAGCATGGGATGCACACCACAATGTCAGCGGAGACAGTATCAGCAATAGATCAGACAATCAAACTGCAGCTGAGACATACTGCTAACATGTAGTAGGTAGGTGGCAACAGCCTGAGAAAATCTACAATGAACTCTGAACATTAGTGTGTTTAGCATCAAAGATGACCATGCCATTCATTTCCAATGGCTATAGTACATTAGGCAATAACAACCAAATAACAACAATAACAATCAAAATCAGATTTCATCTTTCACTGATCTACCTGCAGTAAAGTGAAAATGGTTGCTGTGGTTTACTACACATCACCCATCACTGCTATTCACACTGCTCTACTGAAAAGGCCCACCGCAAATATATCTTCCTATACATGGCCTAGAAAAAGGTGTCTGATGTAAGGGGAATTTGATGTGAGACTAGGTTCAGATCTGTAAGGCAGTCCATTCATTTCAATGGGCTGCTTTATCTGCAGAAATGTGGGGAAAAGAGTCCCTGACACTTTTGTTTTTTTAAACATGCTGCACCGAATTGCATGGTGCTGCACCATGCAGTTTGGCGCACATGAAAACGCACCCCAGTTGCTGTTGCATGGGGATACCTTTATGAATCAAAGACACGCATCTGCTAAAATTCAGTGCATTTCTCTGGGGGTGCGATTTTGTGTGCCATCCCCACCCACAGATATGTGAACCTAGCCTAAGGGGGACGCCGATGGTGACCCTGATGACGGGGGGGGGGGGGGGGGGCACACTTTTATTTATAAAACTGGGTTTTTTTTTTTTTTGGGGGGGGGGGCTGCAGATCAGTCCTGGATTAAACTCTGGAGGCCATTAGACAGTGGAAACCTTGCCCCCACCCCCACAGGATTCTGGAGCTTTCTTGTGACTGCTCTAGTTGGATAACATTGAACTAAGTAGTGTGCATGTCAGCCGCAAGATGGACATGACCATCACTACTGTACATTACACATGGGTACATTACATTAATACAGTATTTTCTTTATAGAGTCTCTAATGTAAAGTTTTCTTTTCTCTGAGTTGGTTCTTTATTTTCCATTTTTTTGTAACAGTTTAAGAAAACTAATTTTCTTTCAAGATCAAACCCATAAAATTTTGATGTATTGTCGCAGGGCCCTTAAACAGCGTAGGGCTAATAGGCCGGTGCCTATTCTGCCTATCTGGTAATCTGGCACTGCCGCATTATTTTTTTAATATAACCTGCGGGCCTCATACTAGAAAAATTTGTAGACCCCTGGTGTAAAGCATCATATATTGCTTAGTATGGAATACTGGCTATTCGCAGTTCACTTGTCTTTTTCTCACCTGAAAAATCTATTGGTTTGTTCTGTTGTGTTGAATTCTGTTTTGTTGACTTGATCACTGCAGGTTACATGGCATGTTGTACTCTTTTCATCATTTGTCTAGAGATAAAGTAAAACAAGCACATGTCAGCTATATAATTTACATCCAATGTACAGGATGGAATTATATTAAAATGCAAAAAAACACATAGTAATATTTATGTAATACTGTATGCCATACCAGGGGTGGACTGAAAACTCATGGGGCCCCCGGGCAATAGTGGATCATGGGGCCCCTGTGTCTTTGCCTAAACTCAAAAAAGCCTATGAAAAAGGTACCAGGGGCATCTCATGGGGCCCCCTACTGACAACGGGCCCTCGGGCAGTGCCCGAGTTTCCAAATGGTCAGTCCGCCCCTGTGCCATACTCATTGTTATTATACAGGATTTATATAGCATCAACAGTTGCAGCTTAACAAAAAAAAATAAATGGAGACAGTACAGTTACAATCCAATTCAAGACCAAAGGGTTAGGAAGGTCCTGTTCATGAGAGCCTACAATCTAATATCAAGTTCCCTCAAATATTGTAATTCATGCACATATCAATGTAATCAGAAGTACAGCATATTACAGGTGTTGCACCTTCCTAGTTAGTGTAGGTTGTTAGGCAAATTTAGTTTAGCTCCTCTGTAGTCAGTGGAGCAAGTCTTGATTGCTCTAGTCTGCTCAGTGTCTCACAGGCTGCTGATCTGATTGTTTTCCCCTATATTCTACAGGATTCTAGAATTATAGTGCGAGGAAGAACAAAGGAGGCAGCCTGAGTATTTAGGATGATCCAGCCAATCCCAGGGACGTGTGCCCAGTATATGGTTGGAGAGCCCAAAAATAGGCTGGGGCCTGGGACAGAGGAGGGAGGTTCCTGTGTCTAGTTTTCCCAGATTGGACCCCTGTGAATGGGTTCTGCCCCTGTGGCAGGTAGCTGGAGGTGCTGTTCAGGAGTCATCGAGGTCCCAGCTGGAGCCTAAGCTGGGGGCCCTATTCGCAATGTCAGGTATATTTCTCTTTTGGGTCTGGAGAGCTCACCGAAGAATACTCAGTGGAAGTTGGGGGAAGAGTGTCCATTGGTCCTGTGGTATTGTGAGTCTGTGTCTCCCTCAATGAAGAGGGTCCGACGGATATGGGAAGGAGGAAACCGATGATCCTGTGAGTAGATGACCTAAGTGCTAGGGATCAGTTACTATGTGTAGCTATCATTTCTGTGGAAGAAGTCATAGTCACCTATCACCTGGCAGTGGAGATATTGTGGGACTTTATAAACCACCACAATGGATTTGAAATGAAACAAACAAGATGTGCTTTAACTGCAGACTGTCAGCTTTAATTTGAGGGTATTTACATCCAAATCAGGTGAACGGTGTAGGAATTACAACAGTTTGCATATGTGCCTCCCACTTGTTAAGGGACCAAAAGTAATGGGACAGAATAATAATCATAAATCAAACTTTCACTTTTTAATACTTGGTTGCAAATTCTTTGCAGTCAATTACAGCCTGAAGTCTGGAACGCATAGACATCACCAGACGCTGGGTTTCATCCCTGGTGATGCTCTGCTAGGCCTCTACTGCAACTGTCTTCAGTTCCTGCTTGTTCTTGGGGCATTTTCCCTTCAGTTTTGTCTTCAGCAAGTGAAATGCATGCTCAATCGGATTCAGGTCAGGTGAAAATGACTTGGCCATTGCAGAACATTCCACTTCTTTCCCTTAAAAAACTCTTTGGTTGCTTTTGCAGTCTGCTTTGGGTCATTGTCCGTCTGCACTGTGAAGCGTCCAATGAGTTGTGAAGCATTTGGCTGAATATGAGCAGATAATATTGTCCGAAACACTTCAGAATTCATCTGGCTGCTTTTGTCAGCAGTCACATCATCAATAAATACAAGAGAAGCAGTTCCATTGGCAGCCATACATGCCCACGCCATGACACTACCACCACCATGCTTCACTGATGAGGTGGTATGCTTAGGACCATGAGCATTTCCTTTCCTTCTCCATACTCTTCTCTTCCTATCACTCTGGTACAAGTTGATCTCGGTCTCATCTGTCCATAGGATGTTGTTCCAGAACTGTGAAGGCTTTTTTACATGTCGTTTGGAAAACTCTAATCTGGCCTTCCTGTTTTTGAGGCTCACCAATGGTTTACATCTTGTGGTGAACCCTCTGTATTCACTCTGGTGAAGTCTTCTCTTGATTGGTGACTTTGACACACATACACCTACCTCCTGGAGAGTGTTCTTGATCTGGCCAACTTTTGTGAAGGGTGTTTTCTTCACCAGGGAAAGAATTCTTCGGTCATCCACCACTGTTGTTTTCCGTGGTCTTCCGGGTCTTTTGGTGTTGCTGAGCTCACCGGTGCGTTCCTTCTTTTTAAGAATGTTCCAAACAGTTGTTTTGGCCACGCCTAATGTTTTTTCTATCTCTCTGATGGGTTTGTTTTGTTTTTTCAGCCTAATGATGGCTTGCTTCACTGATAGTGACAGCTCTTTGGATCTCATCTTGAGAGTTGACAGCAACAGATTCCAAATGCAAATAGCACACTTGAAATGAACTCTGGACCTTTTATCTGCTCATTGTAATTGGAATAATGAGGGAATAACACACACCTGGCCATGGAACAGCTGAGAAGCCAACTGTCCCATTACTTTTGGTCCCTTAACAAGTGGGAGGCACATATGCAAACTGTTGTAATTCCTACACCGTTCACCTGATTTGGATGTAAATACCCTCAAATTAAAGCTGACAGTCTGCAGTTAAAGCACATCTTGTTTGTTTCATTTCAAATCCATTGTGGTGGTTTATAGAGCCAAAAATGTTAGAATTGTGTCCATGTCCCAATATTTATGGACCTGACTGTATATCCCTTACACTGATCCAAGCTGGACCAATGCAACTATGTAAAAATATCCATTACCTAAACTTCTAGCTTCCACAGTGATCTCACAGATATGGCACATACATACCTATTGGTTCAAGCTGCATCAATGTAAAAATTGCCATACCTAAACTTCACATTTAAAGTTCAACTCCACGATAACATAAAATTATTCCTTGCAGTGGGGCTAAGCCCACACTACAAATGTTTGTGGACTGGGCCTACCATACCCTGCACAAGGGGGTACGTTTCTATTGTGTGTGCACTCACCAATGCTCAATTCCAGGAGGGGCTGCGTTCATATAGAGAAAACTTTGGCAGTACCCTGACTTACACTGTGTACAGCTGTTTGACTTACAGAGTTCCTCTGTGTGGCATTCTGTCGCGTGTTACTACACACTTTCCTCAATGTATGTTGCATTTAAGAGGGACACTACTGAACCCGTGCCCTCTCCACCCTTCCAGCATACCTCTGTCACCTCACTCCCAGTGACAGAATAGGGTCCCGCAATGCACACAGCACAGACCTCATGCGTGCACTTAGTTAACTCCTACTGCTCTTCCGTATGATGCGGCTAGGCTGTAGGCCCTCTGTACTGCGGGTTCAGTCCTAAAACTTTGGGAAACAGACCATTAGGGAAGAAGCCAGAGCACCGACCCCCTCGCTACCAGAGGACCTGTTGCTAGATACCACACTGGCTGCTGAACACTCTCCACCAGTTTTCCGTTACCTGTGGCAACTTCTTTCTTCCTCTTCATCTTCTGCCAAGTTAACCCTTTGTAGTGGCCTAGCTTCTGCTACCCATATGTGTTTCACAGGTCCAGTTTCTGCATATGCCAGAAACCACCATTCACCCCTTTACGTAACATCAGTTTAATGAAATTTAATGGAACCTCTGTGGCAGTACAAGTGCAATGCAGTTCAAACTCTAACTGCTATGCTCTGGCTGCCCAGGTGGTACCTGAAAAGGTGTAAGGCCATACATGGTGCCATCCAATCCCTTGAGCAGGCTCTCCCAGGCGAGCCTTCCTCCTATTTATACATGAACCAGGAAGGAAGGCAGGACCCAGAAAGCCCAGGAATCCTGCATCCCGAAGCTTAACCCCTTCTTAACCTTGAGCAGACTATCTAGTTGGTAACACAACATGCCTACAGGTTAATTGCTCGCTTTGCCTAGGATAAGAAATGCTTTACTTACCTGATCCTCTGGTTCCCCGGCAGATGGCACTCCCCCCATGCTCTAGAGGTGGACTGTCCCTCATTGTCAACACATCCACTGTAGGGCTGTGGACCCTGAACTTGTCTTGATGACATCAACACCTTAGACTGCTGGAGCATGGGGGAAATGATGCTGCGGGGACTGATCTAGCTGTGGGCAGGAGCAGAGAATTGGGTAAATAAATATTCTTTAATTTTTCCCCTATACTTAAATGAGCAATTAGCCCTTCCAGTGGCATCACAGCCCCACTGCAAGGGAGAATTTTTTAGCTGCCTGAAGTTTGGCTTCAAGTATTTTTGTATATAAACAACAAAAAGGCTACTTCTTACACAGCATGTAGCAATACGCTTTCTTCATCATCTTTAATGAGAGGAATCCAGAGTACTCTAAGTTCACAGATAATTAACATATCAATGTTCCGCAGATATAAGCAGCCTAGACAAAGCCTGTCAAAAAGTAAAAAAACAATCTCCCAATGAAATTTTAGCTAAAGATAATTGTACAGCAAAAATGAGAAATATAGTATTGTATCAACTCCTAATGTGTCAAAATTTTCCTCAGAGTCTGTCATGGCTCTTCTCTCATTTTAATTAATCCAGGAAAGAGAAACTAATAAACACCCCAAAAATGGTCCTGGGATTTCAAAAGAAGTTATTTGGAAACGAGTTCAGATACAGCTTAATTATAAGAGGCGAATCGACTTTTTTTTTTTTTCAGTTACACCACAGTAAGCATGATATAATGGTTGTATTGTACCTTGAAACACACACATCTCATTCCATTGTTCTACAAGAGGCTGAGAACAAATCCCCTCTAAGACTTTCAGTACAGCTCTGGCTGTGGCAGGCTCCACGGTTACAGCTTCACCTTGCGTCCCTGAGCTTCCTGTCAGAAGGCCTTTTATGCTTCTGTAATTGCTTGATTCTGATTCTGAACCACAGAAAGTCTGTGATATCTTGTGCCAATTACAAGCACTAGCACCTAATACATGCAGACCTCTCGTCCTTGCACAATCACTGGTTTTCCTATCTCAGAAGACAACAGAGAATGAGGAGACAGCAGAAAAAAGAAATCACCAAAGAGGAAAAAGAAAACATTTTTTCTGATATTACAAGACTGAAATGTAAGTTTTTTCCTTCTCTTGGTTTAGGTTAACAATAGGTAGATGGGACTGGTTTAAAAATGGTGTGTTTTGAAAACAAAAAGATTGTAAATGATGGTTTCTCCCGGTATGGCTGAAGTTCTACTGAACTGATATACAACCTCTTTTTCTACACTTGACATTTAATATCTATCTTTTTTTGTAACACTTCTGGTCCACTTGTGCCATTCTAGTGGCTGGCAGTGGAAATTTAATGTCCAATGACTGGAGGGAAGTTATTTCAAACTCCTACCAAGTACCCAGGGCCTTAGGCCTATAATGATAGTCACTAGCGATGAGCTTGGGCATGATCCCAACTCATCTCTATTTGAACATCAAAACTGCACTTTTTTTACTCCAATCAGCTGCAGATGGGATCATCACATGTAAACATGGTGTGGAATGTTGGTGACATCAGTGCCCTTATTTGAATACATGCCCATATTCATTCAATGTCACTGACTGATTGGCATGGAAAAAGTGTGATTTTTATGTTTGGTTACATGAGCTCAGAGAGACATTCCTCTGTATTAGCCACCACTAAAATGTCAGCCATTGCCCATCAATGGTGGCAGAATGCTCCTCCACAGCAGTGGCCTTCAACAGACAGTTTATGTGGAAATATGCACTGTAAAGCTGACATCAGCTTCTGACTGACAGGTAACTACTGGCATTTCAAGCATATCTAAACCCAAAACTGCTATACAGTATATTGAATATAACTGGTCATTAGATATAGCAGTTGCATTAAAATTAAGATTGCAGCACTATAATTAAAACTTCCAAAAATATACAGTATATCTTTCATTAAATGGCCGATAAATATCCTAACCAAAGATCCAGGAGATCAACCAATAGATATGAAGGTACACTGGTGCACTAAGGAATATGATTGTGGAATAAGCACCAATCATCATCAGATACTGAGGGTGAAAAATCAACAGATAGCAGGTAGCTATCACATTTGTATCCATAAAGAAATAGTAAAACTCCAGTGTAGTCAGACCATCCATGGCTCCCCAATCACTGAAGATGGTAGACAACCACTCACATAGCAGCAAAATAAAATTAGCTGGCTCAAACTTACAGTGGAATCTTTCAGTATCTGACAACATGTGGTGTCAGTCTGCTAGCTTTACCCAGCGCATTTCATCCTAAGAGATGCCCTAAGAGGCCCATAGACCCCAGTGAATTGACCCCTATCTAGGTGAGGTTCTACTATCTGATGAGTTTATACCCTTAGTGTCTGGTGGTGGTTGGTGTTTACCCATACTCAGATACTTCAGCACACAGATGTACCAACATGCTGATCGATCTGGTGGATCTTTGGATTGGTTATTTATCAGGCATTTAACAAGTGATATATGTTTTTGGAGTAGGACACTTTTACTTATAGTGCTGCAATCTTATTTTTGGTTTCACTAAAGGTTTTTATATACAGTTGTGTTCAAAATAATAGCAGTGTGTTGAAAAAAGTGAATTAAGCTCAAAATCCTTCTAATAGCTTTTATTTCCATACACACAAATGCTTTGGGAACACTACACATTCTATTTCAAATCAAAACATGAAGAAAAATATATCAAATTTGTGTTGTTCCTCTAAAAAAAATTGAAGTAAAGTGAATATTAAACTGTTCAAAAAAATAGCAGTGTTTGTATTCTTCTTTATAAACTCAAACATTCACTATATAAACTGAAAAATGTTTGAAGATTTTGCTTTCCTTTAACTAGCTGCCGACCGCAGATAGCCGAATGATGCGGCCGGCCAGTTCTGAGTGGACGTCATATGACGTCCTCCCAGAACGCGCTCTCCTGCGCGCCCCAGGGGGCACGCACCCGGCGATCTCCGTGATCGCTGTGTCCTACGGACACAGCTGATCACGTGATGTGGTAAAAGGCCAATCACAGCGGCCTTTTACCACGTGATCAGCGGTGTCCAATGACACGCTGATCACAGGGAAATGCTAGTGCCGGTTCTCGGCTGCACTTTCCTCACGCTGTCAGATCGTGAGGAAAGTACTGCCGAGGACAGGCAGTTGTCAGAGCGGGGATCGGCACCGATCATCAGGGCACTGATGATCAGTCCCCTGATGATCGGTGCCCAGCAGTGCCACCCACAAGCTCCGCCCACCTGTGCCCAGCAGTGCGTCCACTAGCTCCGCCCACCTGTGCCCAGCAGTGCACCCACCTGTGCCCAGCAGTGCACCCACCTGTGCCACTCTGCAGTGCCACCTACCTGTGCCCAGAAATGCCACCTACCTGTGCCCAGCAGTGCCACCCACCTGTGTCCAGCAGTGCCACCCACCTGTGCCCACCAGTGCCACCCACCTGTGCTGCCCACCAGTGCCACCCACCAGTGCAACCCAGCAGTGCTGCCAGTCAGTGCCACCAGTCAGTGCCCAGGGGTTGTGCCAGTCAGTGCCGCCAGTCAGTGCCCAGCAGTGATGCCAGTCAGTGCCGTCTATCAGTACCCATCATCAGTGTCACCTATCAGTGCCGCCTATCAGTGCTGCATATTAGTGCCGCCTATCCGTGACACCTCATTAGTGCTGTCTATCAGTGCCTCCTATTCGTGCCACCTCATTAGTACTGCCTATCAGTGCCCTTTAGTGCTGCCTATCAGTGCCCATCAGTGCCGCCTATCAGTGCCCATCAGTGCTGCCTCATCAACGCACATCAGTGAAGGAGAAAAAATACCTGTTTGAAAAATTTTATAATAGAAACAAAGAAACTTTTTTTTTTTTTTTCCAAATTTTTTGCACTTGTTTTATTTATAGCGCAAAAAGTAAAGCGCCCAGTGGTGATTAAATACCACCAAAAGAAAGCTCGATTTGTGAGAAAAAAATGATCAAAATTTCATATGGGTACAATATTGCATGACCGCGCAATTGTCAATCAAAATGCGGCAGCGCTGAAAGCTGAAAATTGGCCTGGTAAATAAGGGGGTATAAGTGCCTGGTAGGCAAGTGGTTAAATCACTTCATTAATATTTAGTTGTATAAGCACTGTTTCTGAGAACTGCTGTACATCTGTGTTGCATGGAGTCAACCAACTTCTGGCACCTGTGAACAGGTATTCCAGCCCAGGATGATTGGACTACATTCCACAGTTCTTCTCTATTTCTTGGTTTTGCCTCAGAAATTGCATTTTTGATGTCACCCCACAAGTTTTCTATTGGATTAACATCCGGGGATTGGGCTGACCACTCTATAACGTCAATCTTGTTGGTCTGGAACCAAGATGTTGCACGTTTACTGGTGTGTTTGGGGTCGTTGTCTTGTTGGAACACCCATTTCAAGGGCATTTCCTCTTCAGCATAAGGCAGCATGACCTCTTCAAGTATTCTGATGTATTCAAACTGATCCATGATCCCTGGTATGCGATAAATAGGCCCAACACCGTAGTATGAGAAATATCCCCATATCATGATGCTTGCACCACCATGCTTCACTGTCTTCACAGTGTACTGTGGCTTGAATTCAGTGTTTGGGGGTCGTCTGACAAACTGTCTCCGGCCACTAGACCCAAAAAGAACAATCTTATTTTCATCAGTCCACAAAATGTTGTGCCATTTCTCTTTAGGCCAGTCAATATGCTCTTTGGCAAATTGTAACCTCTTCAGCACGTCTTTTTTTCAACAGTGGGACTTTTTTGGGGTGGCTTTTTGCAGATAGCTTGGCTTCACATAGGCGTCTTCTAATTGTAACAGTACTCACAGGGAACTTTACCCTTCTTTGATCTTCCTGGAGCTGATTGTTGGCTGAGTCCTTGCCATTTTGGCTATTCTTCTATCCATTCGAATGGTAGTTTTTCACTTTCTTCCACGTCGTTCAGGTTTTGGTTGCCATTTTAAAGCATTTGCGATCATTTTAGCTGAGCAGCCTATCATTTTCTGCACTGCTTTATATGTTTTCCCCTCTCCAATCAACTTTTTAATCAAGGTACGCTGTTCTTCTGAACAATGTCTGGAACGACCCATTTTCCTCAGAATTTCAGAGAGAAATGCACTGTAACCAGCATGTACAACATTTGCTGCCTTCCTTCCTTAAATAAGGGCAATAATTGCCACCTGTTTTTCAAAGAATGAATGACCTCACTAATAGAACTCCACACTGCTATTATTTTGAACATGTCCCTTTCAATTAGTGATTCAATTACACAGAATCAGCAGCATGAATGTCATGACTGTTGGGTCTGTTGGATTTCTATTACTCTACTACACCTGCTAGTAAATTATTTGCCATGTAGAAATATAATTTCTACCAAAAACAGTGATTGATCAGGTTAGTGATGTCTGACTGCTATTATTTTGAACACAACTGTATATAATTATTATTGCTAGCTGCTTTATTGTATTAGCAAAGTCTATTTATTTATTTATTTTCATTTTAGTGGTTGATTTGTAGATCCCTGCTTTTGGGCTAAATTTATATTTGGCTCTACTGTAGTCAGTGGAGAAATGACAATGAGAGTAAGACCTGAGTTTGCATTCTTAATATTTCTTGCTAAGAAATTTGTCCTCCACATTTTGGAGTATCCTGCACCTTGATCCCTCCCCTGTTCAAGTTTTTTGCAAATAAAATCCACAAAAAGACAGCCTCTGCTGAGCCTGAGTTGTCAGTGTGAGTGGAACTGTGTCTGCGGCAGGCAGCCTCTATACTAACAAGGAGATCTGGGCATACTCTCAGCGGCCTTTTCAGAAGAAAGTGCTACACACTAATTATCTTTTTTTGAGGCTTTTCCTCTATTTTCACTTGGTAATCCTGCTGGAGAGAGCCAATGTTTACGTTAGGGATGGGGCTTGGGTTTGAAGCTTTGTTTGAAGTTTTGTGGTACTCCATATTTATGGCCAAAAATTTGCACCTGAACCTATAATGCATTGCATAGCCTTTGTCCCTTGTCAGATGAGTCCCCGAGAACCAATAATCTGAAAAAATGGACAGGCTGTCAGCCCTCTCACTATAAAAAGGTAGGAATGAACAGAATATCAACATTTGCCAGACATAGACTTCAACTGGGTTCATGGAAAAGTTCAGATTGTGAGGATATCTTTCACAAAACTGGCTGTGCATCAAACCTGGGAAAAATTTGCTGATCTCTATTTGTTACCCAGGCTCAACTTCAAACATGTCTGCTTTTCCAATTTCCTATACATGAGGGTGGGTGGATTAGTAGTACCCTTGTTTGTGCTTTCAGTTCAACTCACAGTAAATGAGAAGGACACTGCAATTCAGGCAGGACAAAGAGGTACTTTTTATACTCGCTACAAAGGTTTTTGGTCTGGAAAATGAAAATGAATGCAGAAAGCACATCTAAGAACTGGTAAGCTGCAACATAATACATTTTTGTTCTTGAGTTTAGATATCTTTTAAAAGGATTGGAGAACTAGGGCCATGTAACACTAATGATCTTGTTGATGACAATCACTTGCGGCCATCTCTCTCCCTCCCTGGTTGAAAATGAAGAATTTCACTTGACAGCAAGTGAGCAGTGACAGAGCAACACCTCGCTGTTGTAGATAGCAAAGAAGTGACTCCGTAGAAGAAGCTGAGTGACCTCAATGCTGCCAAGCAACTTATAGTAATCCTAACAGCAGTACACAGCACTGTATAACTGTGAAGAAGAGGTGGCAGATAAGAACTATTATCTAAGTGCATGTGTATGATTTGCACAGTTAGGCTCTCAGCAGAATAGAAACTCTGCAGAATTATAGCAGCTCTTTGACAACATCACAGTTCCTTGGCAAGATGGCAACACTGGGTCTCAGCAATATGTACGTGTCAGCCTACAATCTTTCAATAGTATTTCAGCACAGTGGCTTAGTGTTTAGCACCTCCACCTTCCAGTCATGAGGTCCTGTTTTAAATGCCAACCATGACACTATCTGCATGAAGATTGTATGTTCTACCTGTGCTTGCGTGGGTTTCCTCACACACACCAAAGACAAGCTGAAAAGTTAATTTGGTTCCTGTCTATATTGTCCTTAGTGTATGCATGTGAGATAAGGACCTTAGATTTTAAGTTGCTTAAAGACAGGGACAGATATGAACACTAGCTATACACACGAGCTAGCCATACATGGGTCAAAATTTGGCCAGTTCAGCATGGATCAGCCAAATTTCGATCCATTTATGGGCAGAGAGGTTGTACAGAAATTGATGGACTTCTGTAGAACTGCCCTGTTGAAAAATTTCCACTTGATTAGCACCACCAGCTATAGCGGGCAGCACTGGTCAGTGTATTCTGACAGCAAGGAGGATTTCCCCATCTACCTTGAATGTGTGGATGAGGGAACTGAGTCATTTTTTTTACTTTTAACTGGCTGCTTGAACAAAAAAAAAAAAAAGAATCATCAATAGGCTGCCTTGGGTTGAATTGAATCACCATAAATGGTATATTATTTACCAACTGTAAAATAAAAACAGACAAGTCAAAAACCTATATAAATAGTACACGATTGGTGCTGGAAACACTATAATCTGATTGCCAGCTAGAGTTTGCCATATCTGCATAATGTAGCTGACAAGACTATAGTTGGTCTTAGATGAGTCAGTTTTTTCATTTAACCACGTGTTGAATAAAAAAATTGGCCCAATTCCCCCATTCACACATTCAAGGTGAATGGGAGAAGCCTCCCCACTGTGTCTTTGTATTTTGACAGCAGAGAGACTTCCTGTCAAGCGTCTGTGCTAGTCAGCCCTTGTAGGTCGCCAACTCGTGGTTCCCCAGGAAGTGGAGTCTAAGCCCCCCCCAGCCTGCTTCTTTACCAGAGCTCCTGATGGTAGGGACGGTCTAGCAGCAAGCTGAAACCAGGTCGGAGCCCTCAGGTACACCCAGGTAAGGATGAGGAGATCACTTGCGTGTGCAGGGTACAAGCAGCAGGAGACGAGGAAAAACAGGAGACAAGTCGAGGTCAGGACGGGCAGCAAACAATCACAGATGGTAAACAAAGCTGGCGTCGGTACATGGGTAGTCAAGCACAGGATACACAAGTCACATGCAAACATAAGTTCAGAGAACTGTGAAGTTGCTCAGCCAATGTGGCCTTCAATGATCATGTCTTATATAGGCAAGGAAACTAGGAGGCGAGCCAGGAAGTGATGGAGGGGAAGGAAATAAAAGCTCACAGAATAGCAGGCAACGCCCAAAGTTGAGCACAGCTGACTACACATGTGAAGGGAATCAGACTAGGAAAAGCACTGCAGCAAGGAGGTGAGAAAACACAAGCGGGATCCTGCAAGTTAACTTGTGACACTTCCCCACTGTCAGAATAAACAGATCAGTGCTGCAGTCTAAAGCGAGCCACTAAAATCCAAATTGGCAGTTGAACGTAAGTTGATCTACCAATGTTCAACCAC